TTTTGCTTTCTTCTTGATTATATTTATAACTAAGTAGAAATGTAGAGAAAGCATTACTGAATAAATTATATTTTTAGGTTGACTTGTATTTGAATCATGTAGTTTTGGTTTAATTCTTTTTTTGGTGGCCTAGCTCATTCTAAAAAATTGCCATCCTCTTTCTTTATCTATTGTTTTTATATAAACATTTCCGTTTGAAATTAGTTTTAGAGTTTGGTGAAGGGAACATAGTAGTTAAAGCAGCAAAATTCTGGGTCCTAATGTTGCTAACTCTGTAAGCTATAACCTTTAATTTAGTTTTTAGCTTTGAGTCATATTTTAGCATGACTTTAGTATTATGTTAAGTCTCAATAGAGGATTATCACAGATTAAAAAGGCCATCTTCATAGTTTTACTAGATACTTATGAATATTCCCACCTTATTACAAGCTGCCAACTATGAAGGTAAAAGACTGCTTTATTTACAGATTTCTCTATTTTGGTTTATTTAGCCTTACTTGTTGATGCAGCTAAATAAATGAGCCTATTATGTGAGCTGTAAGATGCTCTCGTGAGTGGTTAATAGAATGGTTTTTTCTCTGTGATTAATAGCGTTGTCAGCTAATCATTATTTGGAATTGTTAAAGTTATTCCTATACTGTGTTCCAAGCTGCTTCATTAAGATACTTAATGAAGATGCTGGGATTTATCTAACAAACACTAATTCTCATAATTGATTATTGGTTGACTAAATTTTCATAAGTTGATGTTTTGTAGGATTAATATATTCTGCGTACATATTCAATTCATAAAAAGCATCTAACTATAGCATATTTTTAAGTTTGTCTGACAATGAAATGAAAGCTTCATAGGAATAAACTAAAGCCATAGATTATATTGTATTAGTCTGCTTAGACTACCATAATAAAATACACACACTGGTTGGCTTAAATAGAAGATTATTTGTTTTCTCAGTTCTGGAGGCTGGCAGTTCAAGGTCAAGGTGTCAGGTTTGGTTTCTGGTGATACCTCTCTTCCTTGCTTGTAGATTGACCATCTTCTCTTTGTGCCCTTACTTAGCTTTTTTTCTGTACCACTGGAAGAGAGAGAGAGTTCTGGTATCTCTTCTTTTGCTTATAAAGACAAGAACCCTATCAGATTAGTGCCCCACCTTTATGACCTCATTTAACCTTAATTACCTCCCTAAAAGGCTCTATCTCCAAATACAGTACACTTGGGGTCAGGGTTTCAGCATATGAATTCTTAGGGGACACAGTTCAATTCATAATGTATATCTAACTTGCTTAATACTTTGCTTCAGGTATTTTTTTTTATTGTTTCATTTTTACCAGAACCAATAGGATTATTATTAAGACAAAACAAATTCATTTCTGTTACCACCTCTTAGCAATGGTAGTGACCACAGGCAGTGAACAAAGGTCAAAGATTGAGATGGAGTAGATGGGAAAGCATTGACTAAGAGGTAAAGGGAAGTTATTTCCTAAACTTGTAGTTAAATCGTGGGTAAGAACAGATTAAACTGGAGGACTGAGCCAGTGACCCCCAGGGACCCATTTTCTTTGGACCACGTGGGTTTTAAAAAATTGAATTGGTAGTGAA